GCTGTATATTTTGTTTATGAAATAAAGAATTATCTGTATGTGCTTGAAAGCATTAAAAAAACTTTACTTAACAATTTACTGCATCTAAGTGCCAAGAAGTCACACATGCCTTTCATTTTTATGAAATCAATAAAAGCATACTACTTATTTATTCTACTGTGGGTTTTCTTCATCATAAGATTTTTTTCACTTGTAATTTACAAAACATAAGTTTTTTTTTCTGTTTTTTTCTTTTAAACTATTATATAAATTTTCAAAACATTTTAAGTTTGAATATGACAATGGAATTAAAAAGTGTACACTATAAGATTAAAATGCTTTGTCATATTTTCCAGTAGATAATTTTATCGTAAATATTATTTAAACAAAAAAAAAAATAAACATTAGGTAACAGGCAACATCCTGGGACCAGAGGTTATCTAATATTATCAATCATCACTGCTTTGTATTTAAATAGAAAATCTTTTTTTTTTTATTATTTACAATCAAATCTAGCAATTTCATTCTCAATATTTCATTTATAAAATTGGGACGTGAAATAATTGTCAAGTGGTATTGGTTTTTTGTTTGTTTGTTTTTGTATTTTTTATTTTAGTATATGTTTTTAAAATTTCATACTATATATTCCAGTAATAATATAAATTTCCTAAAACCGTATTTATGTAGTTTGGCTTACATAACAAGGGTCTCATGCATATCAAATTTTAAGGAGATGGATTGATTTAAGATTGTTTCTGGATGCTTAAATGTATTTGGATTTTGTTTAAAATCAGTGTTAGGTGTGGTTTAAACTAAATATTTGATCCAAACAGCAAGTGCATGCATCACATGTGTAACACTATTAATAAATGCAAACACATGTTTAAACTGCTTTAAAAAACCTGCAAATATAATGTGCTTTTTTCCCTTCCCTAAATTTACATTCTATGCATGTACGTATAGAAATCAAAAATATATTGCAAGTTTAGAATAAAGGTGAATATATTGTATATTATTTCAAACTATAAGTTGAAGTAAGAAATTATTCGAGTAATTTTATACCCTAAATATGTCTTAATTTCAATATGATTATTACACCATACTATGAAACACATTAATACATTTGATTTCTTTGGTAATTCAATAACTTATCAAAAGTTCAAAAAAGCAACTTCTGTTATGAATCAAAATATCTGAACAGACACGTAAAAATCTGTTTATGTCTCGAGAGCTTTACAAAATTGAATTATCTCCGATCTTAAACGGTTTGGTCACACTTTTTGTTCATCTGCTATTTAACACGTCAGGAATTTTGGCTCTCAAGGGAGACAACTTCCTACAGAAAAACAGAATTTCAGGCATGTTCTGTCACAGCTGTTTAAAATACTGCTACATTCATGTTTCTGCAAACTTTTCATCAGATTGATTAAAATATATGATCTAAGCAAACTTTGTTTTGTGTATTTTAAGTTTTTGTAGCTTTGAATTCTCAGAATGATTTAAAATTGTATATATGCCCTTAAGAGAGTTTTTAAAATTTTGACAAAAATTACCAAAAAAAGTAAGCACATCATGTATATTTCTTTTCGTTTGTATAAAGAAAGCTACCCATGTGCTTCCAGTGAAGCTATAGATTTTTTTAGGCTCGGAATCGTGATTCAGTATCTAGCACGTAAGGCGGTTGGGTTCGAGTTAATTTTCACACCGAAATTAAACTTAATGTGATTATTTCACTGTCAGATGATGATGAATGGACTCGACAAAGGTTGATCGTGAAAACATGCGCCCTGTTCTCCCGGCAAAAGCTTTAATCAAGGGACCAGACAATGAACCGGAGAGGACATTTCACGAACTATCAAAAGAAAATAACACTTTCAGCTTCGATGCATATAATTTTTCTTTCAATGCAAATTATTTTTCATTTTTGTCGTTCTCTTCTTTATGCAAAACAAAAGAAGGAATAAACCAATGCACACCTGAAAAATGTTAACTTTAAATATATTATTGTGAACTAAGATCAACTTCAGTAAGGTAGAATCCATGCCAATGATCAATTTTCGAAACTTTTCAAAATATAAGATGATTAGTGAAAATGTTTTTTTATAGAAAAAAGATAATCGTTTCTCTTTGATTAAATTTTCTGTCAAGACTATGTACAATTAACTTTATTTAGTATCAATCTGATTAAAATGATAACAAATTAACCACAAATTAACCACCAGATTTAACTTATTTTTTTAGATATGGTATCTTAAGCTGTCAACTATCATCTGGCAAAGAAAAAATTCATACATTTTAGTTTTTTTAAGATTTGATCATTTTTGTATATCTTTATATGGAGCTCTTCTTTTAAGGGAGATCGAAATAGTCTGAAAATGGCTGCCACCCCCCAGCCTCGTTAAAATGATAAAATCAGATCTTTGTCACGATCCGAAATTCTGATGTTCGCTATTCAGCGAACGTCAGAATTTCTAAGCGTAAAAATGATCTGATTTAAATCAGATTGATTTAGGATTTTTCAATAATTGAAACATATGTTCTTCAGATAGAATATGCGCTTAAATTTTACAGATATATATAGTAACAAGACAAATCTCAGTTTAACAGCCCGTTTTGTAACTTATACCCGTTCTCCATTACTCTATTTATTCAGTAGGTTTTTAACATTTTTGAGTTTCTTCTTTAGCTTTTTTGCTAGTCTGTTTCCTCCTGACCATTATGGCCCGGGCTCGTTAATCACTCGCTGACACATTCTAATAATCTGACGATAATTCTACACACACTGCCTCATCAAGGCCATAATTAACCCATCCTCCGTTTCATTCGCTCAAGCTGAGAAGATACCCTTTTCTACAAAAAATAATTTTGATCACAAAGATTGTTTTTTCAGAAATGAAAGAACCGTTTTTTTTGCCCAGATTCAACTAAATAGGGAGTTGATTCATAGTCTCACCCCGACTGTCCTTTGTGCCTGGGGTCAACTTAATATTTTGAGAAGGAAAACTGATTTGCTAATAAAGGCTTTAGAAGGTTGATTTTAATTCCATAGGATATTATATAATACCGATAACAGTAATAAATAATAGAGAAAAAACACTGGAATTTGAAGATTTTTTTTTTAAGTCAATGAAAATATTGATAAACATTATTTTGTGAATTGATCTTTAAATATTTCTTATTTGTGAAATATTGAAGAGTTTTGGGAGATGAAAATGTCTCCATTTTTTTAAAATAATATCTACAATTTTCAAGAAATCTATATTTTTGAATGACATAGTGACATTTTGATAACCTGAACGCCTATTTTTAAGATCACTTTTATTTACTTAAATGCCACCAATCGTAGGAAACAATTCAAAAGAAAAAGACACAAAACACTTCTTTTTTGTTTCTTTGCCAGAGAACAGAAATCATGATTATGCAGTTTTTGGGGAGAATATTTTCATGCATGTAGGAGTTCATTAGTTCTGCTCTCAAGTCACAAGATTTGGTTTTCAATGCTAACAAGACGATTTTGACACTGTCTTGTCATAAAATATTCTTTATGACATCGAAATTCCTTTGATATTTTTAAGGGCGAGATAATCTGCATACGATATAAATATTTAAGCATCCAGGAATTGTTTATTACGTTGGATTATAATAGCTGACAGTCCTGGGTTTCTTGTCATTGGCATATGTAGATGTGCATCGATGTCTCGACCTGAATAATAATTCAATTATTACGAGACAAAAAATTCAGGGACAATTTTTAGGTTATTTATGAGCCCTGTTTTCTTACGACTACAGATTTTCTGTTGTAACACTATGTTCGGGCATAGTTTTGTGGGGGTAATATATGGTTGTCGGTCGGTACAATACCGCGGTTATAGTGGATTCTATAATATCCCTCGGATGTGCTGACGGAACGAAGCATAACAACGTTATCTGCCGAGGGGCACAGATAGTCACAGTGATGTACAAATTGTATATCATCTCAGTTCAATACTTCCACAATGCACAATTGAGCTATGTGGGTTTTATATAAATGTGTTATCTCTGAACAGATTTAAGGATTGTTATAAATAGATCAAAAACACTTCAAAGAGACCAAAATTGGATTGGAGATAAATGGAATATATTATGCTTAAAATATTAGAGTTCAGGCTTGTCTTTATACTTGACTTGATTTGAATAATTTACACACAAAAAAGGGTGGAGGGAAAAATTGATTTAATCGAAACGTTGAATAGGTGTTAGTTTACTCCAAAAAGTTTTGCATAAATTAATAAACCTTTGATTGTTCCATACCAGGAAACCAAAGGGTGTTTTTATTATATTTCCACAATTAAGTCTCTTTCACATTTGTTTTGTTTTTAGTAACATTTATTATAACTCTTAATCTTTAAAAGAAAAAAAATACGAAGATCATCAAGTTCATGAATATTGCCCAAGTAGGAAATTAAGGATATCCTAACAGTTCTAAAATTCCCCCGTTTCCTTCCACATTGTTGTGTAAACAAAATAAAAATTCTTCATAGTGGCTAGAGTAGTAGAAGGTAATGGCCGTTTGGTTGGGCAGTCTTCCTGTCCGGTACAAGGATCTGAAGGCCGTCTGTAAAAGTCGTCCCCCGACTGTGTTGTTTACATTAATCACTCGGTCTGACAGGAAAACCGTACGTTGCGGTTGAGGGTGATTATAGTCGGTAGTGAGCGGTTGTTGGTGATTATAGTTGAACGTAAGGCGTCAGGCCATCAGTACATTATTCAGTTTGTCATAAAAATTAGGAGACCCAAGGACGATAACTCTAAGTTAAAAAAAAGATATGAAAAGTCTATTGCTCCGATTTTTCTCTTGTCTTTATAGTTGGGAAGAGGTATTAGTAGGAAGACAAATAATGTCAAAAATATATATTATCTTATAATATTATCGAAAGGTTTCATTAATAAAAAATTGTGTGTATTTTGACATTTATAATAATTGAAACAAAAATTTACGTGAATATTTTTTTCTGTATTTTAATTTTATTTTTCTTTTTTAGTTGCAAAGCCGGCCAATGATTATGGTTACCCTCCCAATCCTGGGACCCCTCAACCAAACATGGGGCGGACAAACTTCACCAACAAACAACTGACAGAACTCGAAAAAGAGTTCCACTTTAATAAGTACCTGACACGTGCACGAAGAATCGAGATCGCAGCGGCGCTTGGACTGAACGAAACTCAAGTGAAAATCTGGTTTCAAAATAGGCGAATGAAGCAGAAAAAGCGCCTACGTGAAGCGCAGTTTGATCAGAACAGAGGCGATAACTGTTCACTAAGTGGACTTGATGGACTCACAATGACTGCCATGACGTTATGTCAGGAGGGGAGATAATCGATTTTTAAATATGTAGAACTCCTACAAATTGGTATCATTTAGTCAGTGGAATGGAATTATGAGTGCTATATATTTAACATTGGTGCAATATGTATATGCTGTTCGTTGCTGTTGTACGATATGACGAGTGGAGCATGTGTCATGATATTTTTGAAATGTCTCACGCCATTGTTCCAGTTTCGGGAGTTACTGATAAGTCTAGAGTCCCTAATATGGTCCCTTTATGTAAAAACTTCTTTTGTTTTACTCTTAGATATCTCTGTTGAAAGCAATCATTGTAAAACTGTCCACCATTGCTCAAACCATTTACAGAATAACAGGGTTTACATCACAATGCAACTTCTTGCACGTGCGATATTTTTGTACCTCGCTTATTGGCTTATTGATTGAAGTTCAATCCAGAAAGAAAGCTGGACAGTTCAAGATCTAACAGATAAAACGAATCTGTGAATTCACCCTTAGATTTTATATTACTTTATTATTTGTATCTATTTTTAGATATTCTTATTTCCTTGTGTTGTACAATAACAATTTCCATTTTCAGTTGTACTAGTCATGTTATGTAGAGGAGAAACTAATGTGGCATTTACAGTGTTTCCTACAAATATATTTATCTGGGTATCAGTTATACCGACTGGTAATTAGTTTACTCACGAATAAAGCATAATGTAATATATGTTATACAGAGCAATGAGTCGATACTAATTCCTTGTGATGCTCTTTTGTTCGATTATTTTTATATCCATATGTGTTCAATGAATGTGTGGTAACATTCCGGATTTGTTGTCTCTAAGCACGTATTTTTTTTTCGATATCACTATAATTTGATTTTTCATTAAAAAAAAAAATAAAAAGTTCCCTTTCAAAAAAGTGTATTGAATACATGCAATAATTGCAACACATCAGTCAAACGATGGAAGACAAAGAAATTTTTTTTACAAAGAATAAACTGCTAAGTATTCAGTGACATCAATAATATTACTTATTTTTTCCTTTTGCTATATCCTTTTTTTGTTCAAATCAATCCAACGTATTTCATTAGGCCTAAAATAAGATCAGTTGATTCAGGAGACAATGTCATAAAGAACTATATGCGGTATATTGTATATATTCGTTTTTGAAAAAATGTGCTGAATTCAATAAATTGTATGAGAAATATAAATTAACAGAAAATATTATAGTGTCAACAATGTCATAAATTTGATCATGTATATTTAGATATTTTAAATATATCAATATTGACAACACACATTCTGACTTTTAAGTAAATGTACATTTTTCTGAAATGAAAAAACTGAAATTTAAGAGCTTATGAAATCAATGCTATAAACTTACACATCCTTTTTTTTTTTATTATTATTTTGAAATATTTTAAACTAAATATTTGACAAAATTTTTAAGTATATCTGAATGAAATGAAAACAGAGCTTATGAAATCAATGCTATAAACTTACACATCCTTTTTTTTTTTATTATTATTTTGAAATGTTAGTAATACGTACATTGCTGTTATCATTCTGTGAATGTAAGCGTGCTATGAGTGCACCAAAATTATAATATATTACAAAGTAAATGTCCTTGTTATTTCCGTTTTTAAGTGTGTGAAGATTGTCAACTTTATGTGAAAATGACGCTCAAGGAAAATATTTTTATTGAATTTTATGAAGAAAACACGACTATTTATATAAGTTTTTGTTTTTCTATGTTAACGAGCGAGCAATAAAATGACTTTGGTGCAATATTCCTGTGTGATGTCTCGGTTTTTGGCGGGGAAATAGTGGTGTTGACCTTTACATTAACTTCGCCCAAAAGGTCAGCCGTTCAGAAAAGGTCAATGGTCTCTGAAATATTGCCTTGAGAATATTTTCAGAATATGAATAAAATAGGGGACAAAAAACATAGGCAATATTTGAAGTTTGCTTATTTCAATTAATACAAAAAATGAATCATAACCAAGGCAGAAATATGTTAATGAATTTAATTTACAGAATTTTCTTTACTCTGCAATGTATTGAAAACAAAAAGTGGATAAAAAGTTCTCATATCAAAAACATTTACTTTTTTCTACACATATTTAAGAAATAATATTTGCGTTTTTGTGTACATGTATGTCACAAGATTAAACCGGATGCTATTGTGAAAGCGAGACTGTCCCAGAATGCTACATTGTTCGCTCCTAGGACAAGATACGCATTAGTTAATAATAATTCGCCAATAATTTTGTACATGGATTGAATTATCTGGCATATCCTAAATAAGAAAATATGCACATAATATTTATACACATGCATGTCTTAAACACATGTGATTTAAATTGAAAATACACATGATACTAATAGTTCATGTAAAAATGGTAAAATAATAATTACCCCTTTAGTTTTGAATTTTTCTTGTATTACAAATTTAGAGATGTCTCTTTTCTTTACAGAATGCTTTCCTTGTAAAGAAAACAATGCTTAAAACTGGACAATATTTTTAACTCGAGCTTAAGCAAAACATTTCATATATTTTTTTAGGTATATTTTGTTATTTTCTTTTTACACAGTAACCATTATGTTTTAATTTCGTTTTCTATTGCCTGTCATTTTACATGTATTCCTGACTGTATGCCAGTATAGTGTTCGCAAGAAAGAAATATACGGAGATAAGGAACAATATTCAAGCTCAATAGTCCATGAAATAGTACAAAATAAGAGCGGAGCAAACATGGGCCTCAGAAACATCAGCGATGGAATCAGGTGCCATGGAAGAGTAAGCATCCCTTGCCAACTGGTCACCCCCGCCGTGTGCTCCTTGTCTTGGTCGGGAAATAAAGAAAAAAATCCGTCCACAATTCAGTGTGTAAATAATGGTCTTACAATTAGTATGGAAAACGTCAGTCATTATTTGACTGAATGATAAATAGTAGTTTTTGACAAGGTCATTGTATCGACGATAGTATTACGAAATGATGACTTTGAACGAGATTGCTGATATTCTTGTTTCATCAACTTGTTTGTGATAGTTTGCCTTGTTTTAAATTTGTACATACATAGAGCATGCTCTTGCGTATCAGGCGCGGATCCAGGAATTGAAGTTAGAGGGGGCGCCAAAAGTAGGCAAGTGGTGTGGGGGCCGCCTTGAGGCCCCCAGTGGGTTCAGGGCAAAGCCCTGGTGGGGGCCCAGGGGGCGATGCCCCCGGAAGTTCCTGGATTCTAGAGATTTTGTAGGGTAAAAATGAGGTTTACCAATTATACATATTTACATTTTCTAGACGAAACTGTGATTTACGTTTATTTGACATTTTTTAGGGGGGCGCTCCCCGGGTGCGCCCCCCTTAAATCCGCCACTGCGTATCGAATCAACTGAGAGTATGATGCATCACTTTAGAATGTAAGACTTATTTAGTTTGTAAATGTGTTGTTGTGTCGTCTTCTGTTATGTAAAATTTGTTTATTGAACTTTACAGTTGACAAATGCTGAAGAGGTGGTTCCACCGATAAAAAAAACTTCTGTATACTAGTAGTTATGAAAAATATGTATTGTAAAAATATACTTTATCTTCAATGAATTATATGAAGATAAAGAACAGTATTCAAGCTCAAAAATTAAATCCATAAAACAATACAAAATAGGAGCAGAGCAAACACAGACCTCCAAAACATCAGAGATACATTCTTTTACCTGTAGAAGTTTGGTATCTGTTTCTGATCTTATAATTTTTTGATGACGTTTGTGATTTATTGGAGAAGATTGTCAGCGATATTTCTTTGATCTCGGCAATAACTTTAGTAGAATATTGAATATTATATGAATACGTACTGGATACAAGGAAAAGTAATAAAATTTTTTTAAAAAATTGCATTAAGAAAGCGATATATTTACCTTACAATTATATATAAGCAGATGATTTTCAATTCTGGTATATCTTTGTTTGACAGGTTATATTTCCTTAAAAAGTGAGCCAATTTTTAGTTTGACCACAATTACTGTAACTAGGAAACTAAAATGTGTCTATGTTATACTTAGTAACATAAACTAGATAATTATTGCACATTGACTACATATGACCAGTGCAATTTTTTCAGAGCTCATTATTTTGAAAAGAACACATGTACCCTGAAAGGATGCATAAATAAGAGAGAGGCGGAAAACATTTTAAATATAGGTTCTTATCAGGCATGAACTTGATCAATAAATCGCCTATTCGAGGAAAACATTAAAATAGTAGAGACAAATCCATAGAAACACCAGCATATTGAAACCCCAACCAGAGATGAAGTTAGAAATACCATCAAAAGATAAAAGAGGGAGAAGGTTTAATCTAGGGCTGAGAACAAAAAACAATAAAACGAATAACAGTATCAAACATAAAACAGCATATACATTTATAGAAGAAATAAAAAAGTACCTTAAAGATCAATGAGTCATATAAAAATGCAAAAGAAATATGTAAATATATAAACTACATTTAGATCGAGGGATAAAACCACCATTAAAGCTATTCAAAAACTAGAATAGAGAAGACTCTCTACATGAAATTTTGAGATAGCAAAGTGTTCGAGCTCAAGGTCTATTGAAACAATACTAACTGAGAGCGGAAAAATTCATAGACAAATTAGGGTGTAAATTATGGCTTAATAATTAATATGAAAAACGTCAGTCAGCGTTTGATTTAATGATAAACTTTATTTGCTGACAAGGTCACTCTGTAGCAACCTACCTTGCGAAATGTTCACTTTAAACGAGTCGAGACTTGTACTCTTGCCTTGTTTTTCGAAATTGTTCGTACTCAGAGGATGCTCTTGCCTATCTTATCAAATGAAAGACATTAGAACTAGATACAACTGGAAATGAGGCGTTATTTTGTCTGCACATAACTTCCAGGTGAATGTATTATTTCTTTTCCAACGTTGAAATGAATTATAAAAAATTCAAATCACTATAACTTTAAATTAAACACAATATGTGTTCGACTACGACAAATACACAATCATGAAAAAAGTTCGCTTAATGAGTTTGAGTTACATGTAATTTGTTTTTGAAACTGAAAACAAAAATTTACACTTTTGTTGAGTACTACGATTAAACCTCTTTAGCGGTCTTTTCATTCGGGCTGGGAGAGCATTGTACTCATCAGGGGGCGAAATAATAACCCTGATTTTTAATTTGCATCATAATTATCATTGATTATCATGCATGTTTTCTACGTACAGAGTTTGGTAGAAATTTAACCACGAAATTGAACTTGAATGATTAAATGAAACTATTCAGAAATGATTTAAAAACATTGTTAGCAATAAATATAATTTGGTGTGTTGAAATAAATGAGAATATTTTGTGTGTTCATATGAAGCAGAATTTGTCCAAATCGTTTACGTGAAAAGAAGAAAACACTTGCTGTGGCTTTCAACTCGACATATAAATATATTTATGTTTCCTCATGCTTCACAATCTCACCGCAGCTCTGTTTTTGCTGAGATATAATCAAACAAAATCAACACCATTGTTGAGATGAAATATGTCATTTATTGAAATGACGAAATAAGAAAAAATATATACATCACATGATAGGGGATCAGATCAAAAGGTAATCGCACAAATACATATTGATATACTGATCCCCTAAATTTACAGCTAAACAAAAAGATGGCACTACAAAAATAAATAATATCGACGACGTATTGTTATTTAACAATCATTATGGTTATTTCCATTCTTATGTCGATCCGAAATATCCCGGTGAGCTTGAGATAAAGGATACTAAGTATCACAGAGTCTGACACATTTGTTTCATATTTCGATATTTTTTCCTGAAAAAAAAACGTTTATGGTAATCTAACAACCAAGCTGTATGATAAACGTGATAACTTTTCAATCGTCAACTTCCCTTACTTGTGAGACAAAATACCTTCATCACCTGCAGACGGAGATAATATCTCTCAGTTGATTCAAT